TCTTGTTCTCCCATCAGGATCTGTCACAGCACTAGTTGGTTCCAGTGGGTCGGGCAAGTCCACAGTGGTCTCACTCCTGCTGAGGCTGTATGACCTCCATTCTGGGACTATCAGTCTTGATGGCCATGATATCCGTCAGCTAAATCCAGTCTGGCTGAGATCCAAGATTGGCACAGTGAGTCAGGAACCAATTTTGTTTTCCTGTACAATTGCTGAGAACATTGCTTATGGTGAAGACGACCCTACCCATGTGACTGCCAAGCAAGTGGAAAGGGCAGCTGATATGGCCAATGCAGCCACCTTCATGAAACATTTTCCTGATGGATTTAATACTGTGGTTGGGGAAAAGGGAATTCTCCTTTCAGGTGGACAGAAACAGCGGATTGCAATTGCACGTGCTCTGCTCAAGAATCCCAAAATCCTTCTTCTAGATGAAGCAACCAGTGCATTGGATGCTGAAAATGAGTACCTTGTACAAGAAGCGCTGGACCGGATAATGAAAGGAAGAACTGTGTTAATTATTGCCCATCAGCTGTCCACCATTAAGAATGCCAATATGGTTGCTGTTCTTAACCAAGGGAAGATTACTGAATTTGGGAAACATGAAGAACTGCTTTCAAAACCAGATGGTATATACAGAAAGTTAATGAACAAACAAAGCTTTATGTCATCATAATAAAACAACTATGTATAAATTAAATTTAAAATTGGATTTTAAAGCAAAACAACATTATAAGGAGAAAAAAACCCAACCAACCCAGACCTGGAAACTATAACAATCTCAGTCATATTTCAAATGTGTTTTAAATATTTTTATTTTTCCAAAATACAGAAATACTATTTTGAAATATACCTGACCTTAAGACCTATTGTTCAGAGTTTAATAATTGAAGTAACTTTCTAGATGTCTATAGCACTGAAGTTTTTTTCAGGTCTTATATTTTATCTTGTGATATTTCATTATTATAGCATTACATTTTTACTTCCTTGGCCATTTGTTATAGATTGAAACTATTGTCAAATGACAAATTATAAGAGGTAATATAAGCACAAAGCCTAATTTTGGGCTAGTTTACTACTCACTGTGTAATTCTTTTGGTGTTCTGCCTATCTTGTGTTGTGTCTAATTTTATTTGGTCAGTATAAAATTTACTTGTGCCTATACAATATTTATACAAGATAAAAAAGCTAACCCTCTTTGCAATCTCAAGAAGTGAGCTTAACAACACACAGAAATCCTTTACATTAAATGAAAAGGAAAATTACAAGAGTTGTGCTGCCAGTCCACAGGCGAGTCACCAACTGCTCTTTAAGAAGAAGATGGGCCACTCTCCCCTCCTGCCATTTCCCCTCCAAAAACCTGCTGCAGAAACAGCTATCAATTGGTTTTAATTCAACAAACACAACACAAAGGCTATGTCTTAAAAGTATGAGTTTAGGAATATCTATTAAAGTGGGATTTTGTTTGAATGTGTGATTTTCAACATTTCTGAAATGTACGTGTGATCCTAATGAAATTTTTAAAAAGGGAGGAATCTCAGTCTATCAAAAAGGAAAACATTTTCTTTTTCGTTGTTGTTCACATAGAGGTTTCTGTAAGTCCTTATAAGTCCCTAGATCTGGTGTGAAAAACAACGTATAAAAACTTTCTAAGTAAACCTAAACCAGTATTAAAAAATGAAAAAAAAAAAAAAAGAAAACAATATCATTTACAATAGCCAATCACAAATTGAGGTACTTGGGAGTGAACGTAACTAGAAATATAAGAGATCTATACAAAGAAAACAATAGAGCATTTCTGAAAGACACAATAAAAGACCTAAATAAATGGAAAAATGTGCCCTGTTTATGGATAAACTCAATATGGTGAAAATGACAATCCTACTAAAAGTAATCTACATGTTCAATATATTTTTTTAATTTATTGATGATTTCCTCATGACCTAAATTGTGATCTATTTTGGAGAATGTTCAATGCACATTGAAGAAGTAGGTATACTGTGCTTTTTTTGTGTGTGCGTTAGCACATCAACAGAGAACTGTCAAAGGTGCAGGCTGAGTTTAGAAGGGGTCGAGGTACTAGAGATATTGTAGCTGATGTTAGATGGATATTGGCTGAAATCAGGGAGTACCAGAAAAAAGTCTATCTGTATTTTATTGATCATGCAAAGGTGTTTGACTGTGTGGATCATAACAGACTGTGGCTAATCTGAGAAGAATGGGAATCCCAGAACACTTGAGCGTGCTAATGTGAAACCTATACTTGGACCAAGAGGCAGTAGTCAGAACAGAGCAAGGAAACACTGCATGGTTCAGAATTGGAAAGGGTGTGCACCAGAGATGTGTCCTATCTCCATACCTTTCCAATCTATTGGCGGAACAGATTACCTGGGAGGCTGGTCTCTGTGTAGAAATGTGGCTTCAGGATTTGATCATCAGTTTTCCTGGGTGCAAAATTCTTGGCAGACAGTTGTATTCTTTGAGTACTCCATCGATATATGTCATTCCACTGTTTTCTTGCTTACATGGTTTCTGCTGAAAAATTTGAACTTAATCTTATTTGCTCTCCATTATAAGTTACTCATGTTTCTCCGTAGCTGCTTTCAGAATTCTTTCCTTATCCTTAGTTCTGGAAAATTTGACTATGATATGTTTTGGGGTTTTTCATTTTGCATCTATTCTATATGGTGTTCGCTCAATTTCTTGAATATATATTCCCTCATTCTTCATTCCATCCACTAGGCCAACAGAACTCTCTCCATGATTCACAGCATTTCTACAAACAACAGATCTAACCCTTGCCCTATTTTACACCATACCCACAATCCAAAACATGCGTAAATCTATTGATTTTCATCTACAGCCCTCAGGCCTGGTTGTAATTGTTTTTGGTCAAGCATTCTTCTCTGTGGGATAGGATAGCTCTGGTCTGTAAATTTGCTTTACAGAGGTGACTCGTGGTTGCTGTGATGCTAAAGACTGACACTGATGTGTCAAATGTGATAATGGTTACTCATGGTGAACAGTGTTTGGTTGAGTTCCCAGATTAAAACAGGCTTGGAAATAGAACTGGCATCTACTTCCAAAATAGCCTTCCTACATAAACTCTTTTAACTTAGAGAAATGATAAAAGTTATACAAGTGTTCAGGTCTTTCATTCATAGTGTCATCTAAAACTCGACAGCACTTAACAACAACAAACAACAGTTAATGTACCAATCTTTGGTCAATGACTTCATGCTGAGAGAAGTGGAAAGTTAGAGAAGAAAATAAGATCCTCGACATGATGGATTGATAGGATGACTGTATCAGTGGGCTCAAACAAGTCTTCAATTGTGGGGATGGTGTAGGATTGGGCAAGTATTAGATCTGTTGTTCATAGAGTTGCTGTGAGTCATAGAGAGAGCTCTGTTGGCCTAGTGGTTTGAAAGTTATGCTAATAAGGCCAAAGGTGGGTGATTTGAATCTATGGCCCTCAGGTCTGGTTTTAATTGTTTTTGGTCAAACATTCTTCTAAGTGGTATAGTACTGGTCTATCAATTTGCTGTACAGACGTTACTTCTTGTGGTGATGCTAAATGCTGTGGCACTGATGTATCATATGCGATAATGGTTACCCATGGTAGATAGTGTTTGGTAAAGCTCCCAGATTAAAACAGGCTTGGAAGCAGGAGTGGCATCTACTTCTGAAATAGCTACCTCTGGAAATTCTATGAACTTAGAGAAATGATGAAAGTTACACAAATATTCAGGTCTTTTATTCTTATGGTCACTATGAGTCATCTATGATGTGATGGCACTCAACAATGACACATTCTTCATTATACCTACAAAGTTTTCTTCTAGTTATTCTTCCACAATTTCTCAGTGCCTTTACTTGCTGCTTCTTGTTCCAAAATTCTGATAATGTGCATGTGATTCCTCTAGATGGTGTCCCACATTATTCTTGGGCTTTCTTCTCTTTTCTTCCTTTTTGATTCTGCTTTTTGTTCCAGCCTATGAGTGGTGACAATTCTGTCTTCTATTTTGCTGGTTCTGTTCCATTTCCTCAACTCTGTTCATATGTCCCTCAGCATGTTGACAGCATCTGAAATATTAGTCCTCATATTCTGGATTGTGGTTTCTTGTTTTTCCAGAGCCTCTAATGCCTCATTTGTTTTATCTGTATTGTCTTGGATTGTGTTTTTGTGCTGTTGTTGTTTTAATTTCCTCCTAGTTTTTGCCTGCAGACTCCTGTAGTTCTTTTTGTCTTTTACCCATTGAAAATATTCAATCATTGTTCTTTTGAATTCTTTGTCAGAAATTTCCGTCAGACTTTCTGGCTTCAAGAAATCTATTGATACTGTGTCACTTTCTGGGAGTAACATCTTGTTTTTGTGTTTGTGTAGGGTATGAGGTAGTCCTCTTGTTCCATGACATTGCTGTGGTAGAGTTTTTCATTCCTGAGGTCTTACCAGGCCCTTGGCCTGAAAACCTAGGCTCAGGAAATCACTGCTCAAGGGGAGGGCAGGGGAGCTACCCTGTATGAGTTTCTGTCTGAGTTTTTGAGTCAAAGGAGGCCTTGTTGCAGCTGGGGAGAGACAGAGCCTATGAGTTATCAGTCTGCTCTGTTAAGCAACCACTGCAGCAAGACTAGGTTGGTCCAAGGTGTCCACAGCTAATGGTAGCTCACGGTCTGAACAAGAAAAAGAAATTAGATTACCTATGATATTGCTGTCTCTTGCACAGTTCAGTGTGTCATCCTTCAGATGGCAGGGTGTATAGGTGTCAGGGCCAAGTCCTCTAGGTGGTGGGGCTGGGCTTCCTGGCAGTGGGTGGGAGCATCCCTGGTGGTGGGGCTGTGGGGGTCAATCTTCCAGGCAGTGGGGCTGTGGCTTCCAGGTGGCAGGCAGGAACATCCAGGCAGTGGGGCCAGATCCTCCAAGCAGTGAATTTGGGGGTTCAGATGGAGTGGCAGGGCCACCAGGCCAAAGAGCTGAGGCCTCAAGGTAGAGGGGCCAGAGGCCTCCAGGCAGCATGACTGTGGGCCTCCAGGCAATGTGGCCTTGTTTTAGTGTTCTAGGTAGGAGAACAGTCCAGGCTACACTAGGAATTTTATAATATAGGAAGCAGGAATGGCATCCACTTCCTAAATAACATGCCTCTGGTAACTCTATGGACTTTGATAAATGTCAACAGTTGTAGAGGAGCTTTAGGCCTTTTGTTCATAGAATTGCTATGAGTCATGATCGACTTGAAGGCAATCTACAATAACAACAACCACCACCTAGTTAATTGACTGGAACATATTGATAACTGCTGACGATGCATGCAGCAGCTGGTGACAACATGTGTGGCAGCTGCTGCTGCTGCCTGTTGTTGGTAGGTGCTGTTCTATATGCAGCAGATTGGTATGTTGTCTGTCCTATCTTGGCGATCCTCAAGATTTCCACCATGCTCACGCCCATTGTTGCAGTTGCTATGAGGGAAGATCCTCACTAAAATTGATTGAGAATGACTATATTTTATTAGTTTAATTAAAATATGCAAGTTTTTAGATTTCTCATAATTTCATTACTTTAATAAGGAAAATGTTCTCATTAGAGGTGTTGTTAGGAACCAACACTTCTGGGTAAAATGCTTATCTGCCAGATACTGCTCTAAGTTGAACATCAAAATTAAAGTATACCAGGCAAGA